AATAACCTCATTTTATATAAATTTTGCTTAAAGTTGCCATTTCCAAGAACCTGTTGACATCTTTTGAAATTTATGTCTTTTACAAACTTACATACTACTGAAATATTCTGGTGTTTTAGCACAAACTCTTCTGAGTGGCACTTAAATTTTTTTGAATTTTAAAATTATTTGGAATTATTAGTATAATCACTAGTTATCACAATCATTGCGATTTGGAGAGAATCAGTAGTCACAGCAAAATGTGTCTTCTGGTAGATTTAAAAATAATTACCTGATATAAACCTGTATCTTCCCTTTGAACTTTTTGATTGCTTTTATCCAGGAAATTTGACTGTCTTTCAAGATCTGATTGCTAGAAACTGTTATTTTAAAATTCCTAGACCACTGCTTCATCATGCATGATTCCACCCATTTGTGGGATATAAATAAACAAAGTGAATTTGGGGGGATTAAGTGAATTTTTAAAAAGCCCTCACTGAGCCAATAGAAGTCAGAATCTACTCTGCAACCTTTCTAAAGTGAAAAAAAAAAAAAAAAAAAAAAAGCCTCAAAAGGAAAACATAGATCCAACTACTATTTGGGCAGGGACTATGATAAATACAAATCACAGACTTCCCTTCCCTCCTGCCACAAATGTCATAACCATTTGGCATCTGAGTGCACTGAATTTTTCCCCCTTTCTGAACAGCTCTGCATGGAAAGGTCAGCATGTCCCTTTGGGAAATACCTTTTCTTATAAATTGGAATGTTTGTACACATAACTGTAGGAAATGTTTTACATTCGCTTTGAAGGGATAGCAGTTTGTTCAACGCAGAATTGTTCTTTTTCCATCTTCCTGCCTATTGGACATCATAGACACCCAAATTACTGAAAGCAACTTTGAGCTTTTTTTCTATGGGACCAGATCATCTTGTCCACAAAACTAGCCAACGCCTTGGGCTTCCGAAAGGCAAGCCGTGTTCCTTCTTTTATTTACTCCAAGGGACTCATTTGTGAGAGACTTTGTTCTGAAGAAAAGCAGTAATTTTCCACTATATATACTGAAACCCTGAAGAAGGAGGGGTAAGGTTGACAAGGAGACATGGGGAGGAGGGAGAGGAAAAGAAAAACAAAATAACTGCTCTAGGATCTCCTGTTTCACTTTGGAGAAAATGTGTTTCAGTGTGGACAGATGCAGTGTCCAGTATTTCAAACGAGTTAAAGTTCTTTGACTCTTTTGGTTTAGGGAAAGGATACAGGTAATTTAAAAAACAAAGCAATTTTGCTGTTCATGATCAGCTGCCTTCAATTTGATAATCAACATAAATATTTGTGGTTCATGGCAAATTCTTCTTCACCAGAGCCCGTTTCCATCCATCTTGAACTGATGAAGAACAGTGCTGAGACTGTGTGGTTATAGTCATTTCTGTAGCAACAAGTAGATACCCAAAAAGACTTATAATTTGTCCTAAAGTAAAAGTGCTTCAATTTAGCAATAACTAAAAATAAACACAAGGAGGAACTGTAAGAAAGATAACAGCATCTAGGTGTCGGTCTGGATTGGACTACAGGAAGGGATCTGAGTCAGCATGGCTCACTAGTTTGGGACACTTCCGATTATTCACCTCCAGAAATAGTTTCCGTTTCAGTCAAGTCTGTGTACCCTGGCTGTGGGAAAGCCAGTGTGTGTGTGTGTGTGTGTGTGTGTGTGTGTGTGTGTGTGTGTGTGTGAGAGAGAGAGAGAGAGAGAGAGAAAGAGAGAGAGAGAGAGATATGCATGTGTGTATTCCAATGGAGAGATGGTCTATTCGGGAGAAGCCACCGCTCTCCACATACACACCTTGTGTTATACTTCTATCCATTCTCATCTTCTCAAGGACTTCCCACCTTCAATTACCTTTTTCCCTAGGTCATCAATTTCTTGTCTTCATTGGTTAAATCATGAAAGCATACAGATGTGCTCTCTCCTCTCAATATTGAAAAATAAGACCAACTTCATTCCCCTGTACACTCCCCATTCCCCTTCAGTAAAACTTAAAAAAAAAAAAATTGATTTCTATTTTCTTGCTTCCATCCTTTCTCCAACCCATTGCAATCTGGCTTCAATCCACACCTCTCCAAAGAAAATGTTTTTGACAGTTGCCAGGACATTTTTGTCAAAGCCAACAGGCCATGTATCTGTTCTCATGTTATTCAGCCTCTTGGTAGGATTTCAACACAGTTGAGTAATCCACTTTTTTTTTTTTTTTTTTCAGATTTTGTTTTTTGACATTTAATTTTTTTCCCACATGTTCACATGTTCCATTCACTCTCCACCAAACCACCCATGCCCATACCCCATCTGCCTCCCTCCTCCATCTCCTTTCTCTCCCTCCTGTTCCCTCTGGTAACCATTATATTCTTTCACTGAGTTCAAAATTTATTCCTGCTGTAATTTGCCTGTGTATATTTCCCTGTGTATTATTTATATTCCACAGATAAGTGAAACCATCTGATATCTTTCACTTTTTGACTTATTTCACTTAACATAATCACCTTGAGGTCTATCCATTTTTGTCCCAAATACCACTATTTCATCTTTTTTTTTTTATAGCCATGTAGTATTCCACTGAGTATATATTCCACAATTTCTTTATCTAGTTGTCTGTTGAAAGGTATTTGGTTCCAGGACTTGGCAATTGTGAACAGTGCTGCTATTATACATAGGCATAGATAATTTTTTTTGTATTAAGAGTTTTCATTTTATTTGGATAAATACCTAACTGAGGCATTGCCAAATTGTATGGAATTTCCATTTGTATTTTCTTAAGAAATCCTGTAGAGTTTTCCACAGGGGCTGTACCAACTTACAGTCCCATCAAAGGTGAATGGGTTTCTTTTTCACTGCAACCTTGCCAACACTTGTTGATTCCATTCTTTCATATATGGACTATTCTCAGTGGTGAGGTGGTACTTCATTGTGGTTTTAATCTGCATTTCCCTTACAATAACTGATGTTGAATAATTTTTCATATGTCCGTAGGCCATGTGAATGTCCACTTTTGAATTACTTTCCTTTCTCAATTTTTATACTACAGTCATCTATTTTTCATCCTTCAGGCTACCTCTTCTCAAGCTGTTTTGTCGGTTCTCAATCCTTGACCTCTATCTAAATGTGGAAGTGCCTAGGACTCAATCATTGGACTTTTTTTCTTTACATTGTTCCTGGGTGATCTTATCTCTCTCATGATTTAATAACCATGTAAATGCTGAAGAACCCAATTTTATAACTCTAATTCTGATAACTCCCATGATTCGCAGACATTGATAGTTAATAGCCACCTAAAATTTATTTTCTATAAATTCTCAAATCTTTCATTTTATTTTCAGCAAGTGGTGCCATCATTGATCCAGCTGCTCAAATACCTGCATCATCCTTATTACTTTTTTAAATTTTTTTAAAGATTTATTTATTTATTTATACAAGCAATGGGTACAGTCAGAAGCGCGGGTGAGAGAATTCACCAGAGCCAGAGCGGAGAACAGAACAGGCAGACTGACAAAATACACTGCTGAGGGGAGCAGCAGGCGGCAGGAGAGGTCTGCACGCCATGTGGGACCCTCGCCCGGCGGCCGGGGATCGAACCTGCACTGCAGAGGCTGCAGGCAGCTTCGAAACCCTGTGCTCAACCGCTGCGCCACCGGGGAGGCCCATCATCCTTAATTCTCTTTGCCTTGAACCCTACCTCATCCCTTCCCCACATCCAATCTATTGGCAGACCACATCAATTCTATCTTCAAGCTAGATCTTTAATTATTCAGCTTAACTTCTATTTTCATTTCCACCTCCAAATTGTCATAATCTCTCATCTGGACTGTTACAATAGATCCCTAAATTTTCTTCCTACTTCTACTCCTATCTGCCGACAGTGCATTCTGCACGATAGCCAAAGTCTCAAACTGACAAATGTGTAAAAGTATCTGATTACTTTTGAAACTGTATTATGTGGATTACTGGAAAGATTGAAGACTTATCTGTATCTATCTATCTATCTATCTATCTATCTATCTATCAAGAAAGATGTGTTCTTCATTTTCACCCTTGTCACTTTTGGTCAAAAAACCTTGTTTCTTTTGAAGCACTTATTATTTGTTAGCATGTTTTATGTTTTTCTCAGGCAGAAGGTAAGGTACCTGAAGGCAGAAGCCTTCTTTCAGTTGATGATTTTCACCCCAGTTAAGTGCCTTGCCTAGCATGTGGATACTCAGTATTTGTTGGATGAACTCATTCGACAGCCATTTTTGTTAGAACTTACTCAACAGCTGCTACGTGCCACATACTCTTATAAGTTCTTGACATATACCTGTGAACAAAACAGAACTGGCTGCAGAGAGCTAACATTTTAATGGTTGAGATGAACAATTAACAAGATGTATAAGTAAAAATATAGTTATGTTTAAAGGTGCTTTGGTAGAAGTTTCTAGGTGAGAGCTTAGGATGTTCTCTAGTCTCTTACCTTTGTGTGGTAAAGTGGAAAGGGTATTTGCTTTGCAGATCCTGAAAGTCCTAAGTAAGATAAACTATTAGATTCTTAGTAACTTACCTCTTAGATTCTCAGCTCCCGTATCTGTAGGGTAATAACCACCTCACAAGGCTGATGTGAGGAATAGCCAAATGTTATCTCATCCTTTCCCAGACATTCACCCCACCATAATATTCCAAGACATATGACACATGGCATCAAAGCATAATCTTCCTCTCAGTACCCCTAGAATGCTTAAAAAATACCAACCCAACTTTTCTGAAAATACTCAATATAGTCTTACTGAGTAAATACATGGACAAAATAGCATGTGGGTAATTTCCAAGCCAGCAATTACAGCTTCTTTTATTCAGAAAATATGCTTTTAAAAAGAATTTTCTTTAATAATTATTTTCCCTCTTTCTCAATTCCATTTTTACTGACCCCTATTGATAAAGATGGAAGAAGCTGCTATCCACTCAACCTTGTTTATCATTTATATAAGTAAAACCACAGAGATTTATTTATAGGAGGATAAAACATTTATTTCAGTGGAAACACTAATCTTTACTTTCATCATGCTGAAGTGTGTAGTTACAAACAATTTCCAATAAAACACTATATATAATAAGCAAAACATAAGTTAATACATTGTAAACTTACATACAGTTTCATCAATTAACAGGTTTAAGAACAAACAAGCCATTTAAGACTTTGGAGCTACATTTAGTAAAAAATTCAAACACTCCAACCTTATCAACCTCAAGTAAGACACTAAAGAGCTATTCAAGACTTCTTCGAATCAATTACACAAATACATTTTTATTTTTGGTTACAGTCCCTGCTATGCACAAGACCATTGGAATGCTGGAACAATTACACATTTTTGAACGGCACGAAGCAAAGCAAGGAGATAACATGCCAGCCTTACTGAAGCTGTCTCGAAAGTGCAAAGTTTGCATTTTCTTTTCCTGAACCACTAGGATAAGAGCGGGCACCTCAGACGACACGGCGGGGTCATGAGCATGCTTTCTACACCACACTGGTGGGACATTTATTGGAACCAGGTCTCCATGCCTTTGAAGATACCTCCGGCTTTAATCAGGGAACAGGTTTCAACTAAACGTAGTGCAAATCAAACACCGAGGAGCAAAACGACAGAAGAGGGGCTGCCATAGGTCGACCTGCTGTTTCTCCACCTGGCACGACGCCACACGGGACAGATTGGCACAAGGAACCAACAACTTCTATTTAGGTTTTGATGTGGAAGGCGGTGCGGCGGAGCGAGTGCAGGGCCACCACACAGCAGCCCCGGAGCAAGGCTCCGATGTTGTAGACGGGGTCTGTCCCCCCTCTCTGAGTACTAAATGCCCACAGAACGGTGGGGACCACGGGTGCCGCCACCGCCAGGAGATCCACCAGGAAACTGCTGCTCCAGTACTGCCTCCCGATGGCCCCCTGCGGCCGCAGGATGAGGCCGTCCAACCTTTCTTCTGCGGAGCCTGCAAAATCCAGCTCTCTCATGAGGCGGTTTTCATGAGCTTCGATATCCACCTCGGGGTATGGGATCTCCACAGGAGACAAAAGGATGGCTGAGTTTGGATTTCTTGGAGTTAAGTCAACCACGAATGCAGAGATGGACTCCGGGAAGCTTTCTGTGGAGTCAGCCACAGATTCTTCAGGGGATGCCGAGCTCGAGGGACTAGGGTCCTGGAGCTTGAGCACGTGCTGAATGAACTCTGAGATCGCAGGGCTGTAGGGCAGCACATCGGTCTGCACGGCCTGCTCCACCACCACGCTGCTCTCCTCCTGCCCCCCTGCCCTGGAGAGGGCCTCCAGGATTGGCGCCCCAAGAGTGCAGTGAAGAAGCTCCACACCGCCGGCCTCTGTGGTGGTGGCTGTCACCATCTCATCGAACAAATCTGTGCCGTCAGCCAGGCTGTCTCCCACCAGCAGCTCACTGTCAGCCCCTTCCTCTGTGACCTGCTCTTCCAGAGACAGCCCATCCGTCATCTTGCCAAAGGGGGTGTTGAGGCTCAAGCTTTTCTCTGGGGAATCACATGGAAAGTCTAGACACAGTTCATCCCTCAGAGAGCCACTGTGCGCCATCTCCATGCTCTGAAGTAGAGACTCCAACTTCTTGTTTTGAATGTTTATGTCCACAAAATATTTCTGAATGCCTTTATCTTTATCAGCCAAGTTGCTCCTCATAGTTTCAATGACCTGTTTGAGCTGTTTGATCTCTTTCCTGGCTTCCTTGAGGGCCAACTGGGCCTCTACCCGGTGACACTCTTCTTCAATCCAGTCTTCTCGCATCCGGGCCAGCTGGGACTTGAGCTCCACAATTTCAGATTCCCTAGAGTGAGAAGATAAGGATGGTGAAGGAAACGTCAACTCTAAACCCAGCAGTAAGCAATTCTGACACCGTGAGAAGCCTGTGCTTTGCCACTTGAAACATACAGGTTAAATCCGTTTTGAATTTCCTTCTTTGGCAGGGATAGCCATGACTTTCCCTCCTTAATTTTTAAAATAGCTGAAAAAATGATAGCAACTAGAATCAGAAGAAGAATTCTTACCAGTATTATTTATTTTTTGAGTGCTCACTATATGTCAGGCACTGCACTAAGTACTTCACAAGCATTGTCCTCTTTCAATATTAAATATTTGAAATGTTATTTTTAGAACACACTAGAGTTCTTAGACTGCTTTTATCTCTATAGCCTACCCTTCCATAAACCTACAGTTTATGGGAGGAAAGTCCTTTTTATTTATTTTTTAAGATTTATTTATTTATACAAGAGCTGGGGTACAGGTCAGAAACGCGGGAGGGTGAGAGAATTCTCCAGAGACAAAGCGGGGAGCAGAACAGGCAGATGGAGCAGCAGGTAAGGCAGGAGAGGTCTGCCACACCATGTGGGTTTCTCCCTGGCCGGCCAGGAATCGAACCTGCACTGCAGAGGCTGCGGACAGCTTCACAGTGCAGTGCCCAACCTGCTGCGCCACAGGGGAGGCCCCCTTTTTATTCTTAATTGAGTATCCAGGACAAAAGGCAGATAGATAAACTTTAGCCTTGTAAAAGTATTCTGATCATAATCCAATAATCATTAAAAATACTTTTTTAAATAATAAGGACTTTGTGGAAAGTAGATTACCTGCTCTTAGGTAAGATGATATAGAACACATCTTTTACTACTACTTTCTTAAAAGACTTATTTTACTTATTTATGCATACAAGAACTGGGGTGTAGGCCAGAGGGGTGGGGTGTGATAAGATTCACCAGAGATAAAAGTGAGGAGCAGGACAAGCAGAGCTACTGAAATACACTGCTAAGGGGAGCAGTGGGTGAGACAGGAGAGGTCTGCTGTGCCATGTGAGTTAGCTCCCTGGCTGGGGAATGAACTCAGGCCATGGTGGCTGGCGATAGCTTGATAACGCTGAGACTATAACCCCTGTGCCACCGGGGAGGCCTATTATACTACTTTTTTGTTCCTTCAAAAATTTTTTCCTTGCATGTAATTTCTCCATAGTCAATGTCAGTATCTGTCCTCATATTCTCAGTGAATATGAAGACCAGGTAGTCAGGATCCTGATATAAATGAAGAGATGGAGTTAGTATTGCTCCTTTGAAGATTAGGCTTAAACACTTTCTTGTTTCACCACCTCCCCTTCTCTCCCCACTTCCACGAGCACTCAAATTCTCCCTGAACTCCCCAAATATCGTATACCAAAGACTTTCAGAAGATAGGGTCTGAGTCATGCCACTCTCACCCTGAATTCACAGCTACCCTGGTCACAGTTCACTTGTCTCTTCCAAAATGTCCCAGGGAAAACACAAGCAGAAATAGGTCTGCCTAAGATGTCAAAGGTTTGTTCTTTGAGATAAGATCTCTTTAAGTACAAGCTGGGTTTTTCTGACCTTAACACTTAGCCAAGAATAATGAACCTCTTCCTTCAGCACAGAAATAGCTTGCAGAAATCACAATGCACACAGTCACCGCCTCTCACAGATAAACAGCTTACCAGGGCCCCATGTGTGAGATCCACTCCACTAGAAGTCTGGGATTGTTCCTGCAAGTGTTCCTGCCACTTAAAAATAGTCGTGCACACACCAAACTCTTCATGTCAGAGCTGCACACACCCACCATGAGCAGTGGCACCTCTATGCTCAGAGGGCCCCTGAACTCCTAAAGGAGCCAGATCACACAGGACTGGGAAGGGCTCTTTTGAGAGGCGGATTTAAGAAATCCAACAAAGATGAAATGAAATATTTTTTTTCTTTTCTACTTTTCATAGGTTGGGTGCCTATTTCATTTTATGGAAAAAGAAATCATCCTAAACCGCAGTGTGCAAGGGACACAGATCACCTCTCGTGAAGCCGGCGCTCGGATTCCTTCAGCTTGGTCTTTAGGTGCCTCACTGTAACCTCTTTTTGCTGCAGAGGAGTCAAGTACTGCTCAGGATTTGGGGGTTTGACACCATGATTTTCACCACAGGACATGTACCTTCCAGACCGTCTGAAATAATCCAAATAATGAAATTTACTTTTTTTTATAAAAAGAAAAGTTAAGGCACAATTAACAGCTCGAGGAGGAATGGCAGCTATGTTGCTGCTTTAAATCTCAATACTCAGAAGGGGACCAAAACATGCCTGTCCTTCCCTTCATTGTGTGTGTGTGTAGGGAGTGAGGATAGTAAAGGGGAGGATTTTCTATGGCTTAGCAATGATCTCATACAAAATAATGCACAATTGTCCCAGTCTGCCTGTTGTTCAGAATAACATGCTGCTGTACTAAAGGACAATGAATGGGGCAGCGGGAGGGAGGCAGGGGAGCGAGATGACCTAACTTTCCACACAATAAGCTACTGCCCAGAAATCCTGACTGCAGTTGAATGCAAATGGTTCTGAAATCAGTCCCTGGCACAGTGATTTGGTGGGAAGTTTCCTTCTTCTGAAGGGAATAAGACTTACTCCACTCCCATCAGAGTGTGTTTTGTAAGAGAAGTGCTCTGTGTGCTACAAAACTTCCCCAGCTGGAATCTTGGTCCCTCTCAGGTCAGGCCTGGCAGAGAGCCGAGCGTCCCTGGGGTAAGGGCCGACTAGTGAGCCAGGGATGCCCAGGAGGAAGGCCAAAGGAGAAGGCTGGCAGCTTCCCTTACTCTAGACCCCATCTAAGCCACCGCATGATCACCCTGCTCCCCCCCATCCTGGTACCAGGACGACCCTTGGCTGGTTCCCGACCCTGCAGTCCTCTGGTCAGGTCCCATTTGGATATGCAGTTCCCGCTGGCCATCCTTTCCACCCCACAGGGGCTAATTCATTCCTTGCTTGCCTTTTAGATCTCATTTCAATTTCACTTCCTCAGAGAGCTCTCCCCTGCTCCTTCCAGACTGAGTTGGCCCCCTCCCCACCTTTTACATACACAAAAAGTAGCAGATACAGAAGGAATATCGTTCATGTGTTTTTGTCGTTAGAGGAGGAACATCTCTTCTGTGGGCGCTGAGCACAGGGAACTTCTTTTCTGTTCACTGCTCTATTCCCACACTTTGCCCTGTACCCGACACAACATGGTGCTCAATAAACATCTAGTATTTGAATGAATGAATAAATGAGTAATGTGAATGATTCCCCTTGTTCTGAGGAGAATGAGCAGGACCCTCCTCCTGCCTTGGTGCCTTTTCTCCCCCTCTCCATGCACTCCGGGGACTGCTGAGGCTTATTAGAATTGTGATTCAGACTCTTTCTCCAGTAGTCTTGAAGGATTAGCTGAGTGTGGGCAAGAGAAGTGTCCCATTGCAGAATACGATGGGGGATCAGAGTTGTATAACTTTTTTTTTTTTTTTTTTTAAGAAAAGCTTAGGACCACGAAGGACCACAAATTGGGGGAGGAACCGCACTCACCTCATCACCGGACTGCAGTCGCTTCCTTTGTAGGAGCCAGAGTTGCTACTGCTCGGGGAAGAAGGCGCATAACTGGGATGGATGTTAACGGGACTCAGCTGGTTCCTGCACAGCATGGACAGAAGGTCCTTCTCCCGTGGGGATGGAGGGCTATTGCCAGACTTGTATGACGAAGCTCCATTACTCCGCCCATGGGGACCTCGACTGGGAAAAACCCATAAAAAAAAGTTAAAATCCTTGGAACTCCCTAAGCACAAATGGCTGCCACTAAGAAAGTCCTATTTATAGAGATGGAAGGGGCAAAGTAAGGATCAGCACGAACCATCCTTCCCAGTTGCTGGCTAGTCTTTTGTGCCTCGTGTCACTAGTACAGGCAGCCTCTCCCTCTGCTGTTTTTTCAAACAGTCTCTGATCATAAAGCTTGTTTTGAATCAAGTGCTACTGCCTGCTAAGGACACAAGCCATGTACGTTTTGATTTGTTTCAGGTTCATTTTTGGAGGCTGTTTTGAAGATGTGGTTTTTGTGCCAGTGCACCTGCTTCAGCTTGAAAAGATTTGGTTTGTGACGGGGTAAGAAAATGAGGCTTGGGAAGAAGGGTGTTCACCATAAAGGAGGAGAAAAAAATAGAAGAGATAAACATAGCCCACATAAATGTATCAAGTCTGTAATTTTAACCACTTATTCCCTCCCCCCTCCACCTTTTCTTTCCTTCCCCAGTGACAACACAGGTGCTTGTGTTGTCATTTAGGTGATGAAATCTTGCAACACTCTTCAGTCCTCTCTCTCCCTTCTTGCCCCCTCCTGCAAGGAGGCTAGAGTGCTCTTTCTAAAATGTGCCTTGAATATCACTGTCTCCCTCAGAGCCATTTAATGGTTCCCCACTAGCCCCAGAATAATGGCCAGACTTCTTTTTTTTTTTTTTAAAGGAATCTTTTTTTTTTTTTAAAGATTTATTTATTATTTATACAAGCACTGGGTACAGTCAGAAGTGCGGGAGGGTGAGAGAATTCACCAGAGCCAGAGCGGGGAGCAGAGCAGGCAGAAGGACCGAAGTACACTGCTGAGGGGAGCAGCGGGCGGCAGGACAGGTCTCCGAGCCATGCGGGACCCTCCTCCGGTGGCCGGGGAGCAGCTGGGGATCGAACCGGTGCTTCAAAGGCTGCGGGCAGCTTCGCAACCCAGCGCTCAACCGCTGCGCCACCTAAGTCTCTGGCTACCTCCTACTCCAAGACTGATGGGAACCTTCTCCAAGCAGCCTTTCTGGATTCTTGCTCCCTAGGTTGGTGGCGAAGTTGCTCCTGGGCGCTCTCTAGTCCTCTGTGCAAACTTCTAACTTATCACAGTGCACAACTGCAACTTGCTGTCTTTCCCCACCACCTCCCACCCCTGAGACTGGGGCATTCTTGAGGGCACCAACAGTCTGTGCTTTTGCATTCCCACCACTGCCTCCTGGCACATGTGAGGTGCTCCCTAAGTGACTGCTTGATGAATAAACTGGACTTAGGTCCTGGCACTGTTGCTTATCAGGAACTTAGGCCAATAAACCACTAATCTACAGGGATATAAAATAACCATCCCTACCTGCCTTACAGTGGTGGCATGAAAATCAAAGAATACCTGGCAATCAGCTGGGAAGGACAATTCCACTGTAAGGTAACATTACAGGATGAACAAGTCTGGATCTGCCTGTACCTCTAGTTCCAGAGATTTGACACCCACTAGTGTAAGGAAGCATCTTGAGAATGTTGACATTACTTAAATAGGCTAACAGTTCTGTCAGAAATATTTCTTGGTGACATGACAGGAAAACAAAAGAGAACAAGATACCTTTCACATAGCAGTACTGCTCTTGGACAGTTTTAATTGCAGATGTTTCCAGCTGACACATCTCAATGAGCACTGTGTGTAAATGTGAATGTGCGTGTGGGGAGACTTGGCTCCAAAACCACAATTATTTATTTAAAATCAAATATAATTTCAACTAGCTCTCAACCCAACAAATCACATAGAAGTAAAACATCTTAATTCTCAAAAAGTTTTTTCCTGCTGAAAATCATCCAAATGGCCTCTATCTCCTTTTCGTGAGAGAAGGCACTTTATATGGAACAGATGGGCTAATGGCTTTTTGAAAAACCAACTTCAGCAGCCCAGTGGTGGGGAGACTTCATGACTTGCAGGAAGCCTTCATGACAGGCTTGGATTTGCTTCTCCACACTTCACTTCTAAATCTGCCACCAACTGGCCTATTTTCTTTCCTTTTTCTAGTTTTGTCTCCTAGGTTATGTGACTATTTCCCCACCACCAACTATCCTATATATCCCCTCGACCTCCCCTTCCCCACTCCGTCTTGACATCAGAGACTTCGCTTCATCTATTGATGTTTGCTAGTTTTTGTGAGAGTTTTAATTTATCGAATCATCTGTTATATAAATGTGACTGATTTTCTCAACATGATTGTGAAAAATATGGAGGATTAAACATTATAAGTTAGGAGAGGAAGTAAAGGATTATTCCTAATATTGACTCCAGAATTCTATTATTCTGAGTGAAGCCTTACTGAGGCCCTTCTGTGACGCTAGTCCTGTTCCAGATGTTTTATGAACATTGTTTCACTTAAACTTGCCCATCATGCTATAAAGATGGTTCAATTATTACCTGCCTTTTACACTAAGTGAAGTTACATGAACTAATTGCCATTCAGGGGCAAAAGAACACGCAGCTGAACTGGGACCTAAATCCAAGTATGAACTCTACAGAAATATCTCCTACTTTACATAGATAGAACCTTCAAGAGAGAATTCCACAGAAATAGCGGCTGGCTTTCATTTGTAAATCTTTATAGTTTTGTTTTTAAGATTACTTGTCGAAAGTATTCTTATCCACTTAACCTGTCCCTCATTTCTCCCATCAAATGTACACCCTTCACTAAATGTTTGGAGTAGCATTTTCTCACGAGCTAATTCTCTACAGAGAAAATTCATTATTAAGGGTGAATGAGCTAATGAATAGGATCATGATAGAGCCCTTATAGAGTTTGGCATAGATACCTGGCCCATCCAGGGGAGTTGATATCAAAGCACCGTCCTGCAGGACACAAAGATTATGTGAAATGGCTGACAAGGTCATCACAGAAATCTACAGAGAGCGAGTCCTCTGTGCCAGATTCAAATTAAAAAAAAAAGTGAGGATAATGGATACATTTCCCATTTCAACTTTCTACCTATTAAGTTTATATACCTTGTTTGCACAGAATTATATTTAGCTCTTTTATATTTAACCCATCAATTTTTAACCACTTTTGAGAAGTTAGGGATTCCAGACTAGATATTCTAAGTCACTCGGTATTACCGACACTACCTTGGAATTGAATCATCAATACAAATTCCTTTGAAATGCTTAAAATTGGTTTCTTCTACTGTCTGTATCTTTTTTCTTTGGCCTCTCTGTTCTTTGATATCTTGTATATGGGTATGTACTAATTTCTTGAATGGGTTAGATCAATGGTTTATTCTCAGAGCAAGTCCCATCTGATTTATACAGGGAACATTTATCTTCATGTCCTTGATCCCAGAGGCACTTTATTTCCCAAATAGATGGTGTTTGGGGATAAAGCAATTGTGTCCTTTCACTGCAAACTCCACTCTTTTGTTACTGCTTGGTTTGATTTCAGCTTTGTTTTTAACAATAAGACTGTGCACTGGCGGGCTGGAGGGGAGATATGTCCTTAGATCCCCTTATGAACATCAGTCAAACCTTCTGCGCCCCTCTCCCCAAGAGAAATGGAAAGTATTTGCTTGCTGACTCTTGGAAATGCAAGCTTTGAGAAATTGAAGTTTTTTTTTCCCCTACAAACCCTTTTCATAAATGCAGACACTGTGATCCAGGACTTGCTCAAAATCTAAAGTCAAGTCCTCCCCAGGTGTTTTGTGGCTCACTCCAGCTATTTGTTCAGTTCTCACTCAGAGGTCACCTCAAAGAGGTCTCCAGGAACCCGTCAATCTAAAATATACACATCCAATTACCATCTATGCCCCTGCACTGCGTATTTTACAAAGTAACTGTATTATTTATGTATTTATTGTCTTTTCCCTTAGTAGGAAGACTATCCCTTTCATGGAGTTTTGTTTAATGCCAGTATCTCCAGAACTTGCCTCACAGTTAATGCTTAATAAACACTGGATGAATAAAGCCACTAAAGTAGCAGGGAATCCTGAGAATTATAACCTGCTCATCAAACATAGACACTAACTCCCATTTTCCCCACGGTCTTTCTGCCAATCTAAACAGCATCAGTGGTGAACATTTGTGGGTGTTTACTATGCTCCATGCACTAACTCCACACTTTATCTGTATTAACTAAATTAATCCTAACAATAAACCCTACAAGGTGAATATGAGTAAAACCCTATTTTACAGATGACAAAACTAAGGCAGAGAGAAGTTAAGCAACTTGTTCAGGGCCACACAGCATATAGGTGGTGGAACTGACATTCACAGCTAGGCAGCCTGGCTCCAGAGCCCATATTCTCAGCTATTCTGCTCTATGGCCTCTGAAGGTACGGGCCACGCACACCACTGTCCTCTCTTCACTCCTTCCCCAAGGAAAGGTTGGGAGTGGTCAGGGTATCACTCTGCTTCCTTCACAGAGATGAAAAATGGAAGCTCAGCTGGAGGAGAGTAAGGATGAAGCTGTAGCTGCTGCAGCAGATTCAACAAGGAAGGTAGGATGGGAAGGAGGAGCTTACTAACCAGGTGAGTACACAGGTGAGTGAGGGAAGCAGAAGAGGAGCAGGACAGGTGCTCACAGCCAAGGACTGCATGAGAGACAGTCACGGGTAGACATCGGCCAAGTCATGTGACCCAAACAAAACCCACTAACTATAATAATGAATAAAATAAAATGTAAACAGAGAGGAATCCAGGTGGTTCTTGAGAAACATAAAGCACAGGTGAGTCACTGTGTAAATTGTCTTAATAACCACAGAGCAGGAGACAGTGCCTACTTGCGTGCAAAAGAGGACCGCTTGCTTCCCGCAGCAGACATATGGACCTCAGGAGCGGAAATGCTGCCCGTGCTGCTCGAGGAGCTAAAATCAGCTTCGCTACCTGAAAAACAACAGGGGAGAGAGAAGTGTGAAGGAGAGAAACCTGAAAACCCGCTGGCCAGTCCCCGCCCTCCCAGGCCCCTGGGTCGCTGCATACTCCAACTCAGCACATGGCAAGATTCCAGAGCTTCCAGGCTCTCCGTGTTTTCCTCAAAGCAGAGGAGAGAAGGAGCAAGCTCAGGACATCATTTCATAAACAGAGCTCAGAAGCACAGCAAGGCTGGTTTCATAAAGATGCCGGTCTTCCAGCACATGATCAGCCAGGACCGAGCGCAGGGAGAGAAAGCAGGGCTCCCCCATTTCAGGCTTGTCCTCAGCTACATCAGTGTGCTCACCCAAGCTCTGAGCAGCATGAAAATATACCAGTCAGTTCCAAAGGAGTTTTTCCAAGAGAGCTTATGTTTGGGCTTCTGTAGTCAGCTAGCCACCCTTGAGCTAGCATGTTAGGGTCTGGAGATAATCAACCAGTGAGAAGCAGCCAGGAGGAAGGGCTGGGCCAGGAAAACAGCCGGAATGGGCTCTATGGGATGAGAGCCTTAACAAAAAGCAGGACTCGAACATACCCAAACAGAATGAAAAAAAGTTCACTGTGACTATGATGGACCCTCTGCTAACGATAATGAAATCTGGAATTTTAATTTTGGGTGTTTGAGGGGGTTGTTAATCAGATTACAAAGATCATAGTACGTTTTGAGTACAGATTAGAATTGGAGATAAAATTAGAACTATGCTGTGTGGTAGGATAATGAATACAACTCAGTTGTAACAAAAATATACAAGGCTCTGGGCAGTAATAATGGAATATTGCATGGTTTGCCTGAGAAGGAGACGCGGTGTGGAAGAGGCCAGAGTGGACAAGTGAGAAGAAACAAACAAAATCAGAAAGGCTTTTGGAAAATCAATCTAGGTATACAATTTCCCAAGTGCTACAACACAGTATGTAACTCATCTGCTCTAGAACTCAGGCCTGGTCACATTTTTGATTTAAGGTACATTATCTAACCATCACAATAGAAACTACTTACTAAGTGCACACTAGGTTCCAGACCCTGTAGAAATGCTTTCTGTTTTTTAAACCTGTTTATCCTGACATCTTTCTAAGGCAGATTTTAATCTCACTATTTACTTTTAAGGAAACTGAAACGGACTTGTCCAAGGCTCTGGGGTAACAAATCCTACCTAGGACCAAATCCTGCTCTTAGTTCTACAATACGATGCTGCGTCCTAGAGTGGGAAAAGTGTGGTCACAGGAGAGGCTCCTGCATAAATTCCACTACCATGTCCCCACAAGCCTAAGGAGCCAAAGGAACATGCAGCAGCCTCACTGGCCACTGGTAAACAGAGTCCTCATACCTATGGTTTTTAATAGTTTTGCTCAAGGGAGAGAAAGGCAAGCGACAAGGCAGAGAGAGAAAAACGCTTTTTGCAGCTTCCAGAACCCCTCTGGAGGGCCTCCCTCTTATGGGAAAACAGACTAAGAACGTCCCCTTCGCATAGAGGACAACAGTGAATCCCAACTCCCAGCAGATTCTGGGAAGATTAGGTGGCAATTTATCAGGACCAACAGTAGCTATTCCTTCTGGATTTAGAGACTTTGTCTAATGATGTAATGAGTTGCTAGGAGCTCCCTGAACTTAATTAGTTGCCTCTGAGTAATGAACTGGCAAAATCTAGTATTTTAGAATCTCAAGGATTCATGATTGGTTGTGCTACCCAGCGGCATGCTAGTTCTGACTGCCTAATTCAACCTGCTAGCAAATTATCAGGCTGATTATAAAATGATAAAGGGGGACAATTTTTAAAAATAGATCTTCGGGGACCGCAATCACCAGGCTGATAATATTTTCTAATGTACTATTATTACCCTGAAATACAAGCTTTTCATTCTTTAAAATATACACAAAATCCAACCATTATAATTGAGCTATATGCATAAAAATGGAAACAGAAACCAACAATTGCGGATATCCATTGTCATCTCCTGATGCCTTTGATCTGCGGTAATTATGCACTAGGAACTGGAGGGACAACTTTGTTCTACACTTTATAGCTACTGGAACTCAATATATTGACCCCATGGATGCATAGAGACGAAGGTCGCTTTCTTCCTGTACTTCTCTAACTTATCTCTGTACATATGAAAGTGATCACAGGACTCAGAATGCCCGGCAGCTACATCCAGGATTCATTGAGTAATATGATAGTGAAAAATGGATAAGCTACTTCTCAGCTATTTCCGTGTATGATCTAAAAATCGTATGATCTATTTCAGTTCATGCAATGTAAAGTCAATGTGCTCTTTTTAAGGGAAACACAGGAAAGTCCATTTTACTACATCATCTGACAGACTTTCCCCATTTACTAAGCAAGAAACTAAAAGGAAGGCTGGAGATATAACTTCCCCCTGCCCATTTATCTATGAGCTGGGAACAAAGATACTAGGAAGGAGAGGTGTTATTTGTTTCCTTTAAATAGTGTTAAACTATAAATTGATGTGTTTACTGTAGTTCAAAGTTCCTGTAGATTATTAAAATCATTTTTTAGCTAGGAGGACCTAGCTAAAAATATAAGCCCAAGTCAGAGAGTTCCTGTTCAAATCCCACCTCTATTGCTTGTTGGATGGAGGACTTTAGGTAATTTAGTTTACCTCTCTGTTTCTCAGTTTTTTAATCTGTTAAATGGAGAAATGACAGCCTCATATGGTTGAGCCAGGTGCTAAGATTTTACATATATATATATATATATATACACTCACACACTTATATATGATATATAATCATATATCATTACATATATCATTATATTTTACAATTATATGTATGTATTCATAGCTTACAGTTATATATATATATTAGAAAAACTATGTTATAAATGCATAATAAATGTTAATTTAACTGTGCAGGAGTTAAAAGACAACTTTTATTACACCACATTTTTTGGTAGAAAATTTAGAAAACAGAAATGCTCCAGAGGAAGGAAAAATGATGTCTATAATTACATAATCAAAAAAATCCTTCAGTTCACCTTTTGGTATACAACTATCAAGTATACAACTTTTGATATATAACACAACACACCATTATGTAACTCAATTCGTTTTCTTTTAATATATGAATATCTTTGAAACGTTACAATTTGTTTTCTTAAAGCAATGAGTATGTAGGCTACGAACAATTTTTCTATTGTTAACAATAAATGCTATGTACCAAAAACCATCCTAAGCATCTTTTACATATTACTCATCTATTTCTCATGAAGTACAGATCCTATGAGGTAGGGACAGTTGTCGGTTCCTTTCACAGGTGAGGCAGGGAAGTTGAGTGACATGCAAGGTGTCACAACTACTTAATGGATAAGCCATTCTAAACCACCCAAAGCCAAGATGAGAACCCAGACTTCTGATCCCAGGCGCTGTGTCCTTAAACACAGGCTTGATGTTCATTGATTTCCTTGGGCATATGAATTTATACCTTGATTCAAGTATTACTTTGGAATTAATTCCAAAAACTATGACTTTTAAGCCAAAGGAAATGCTCAATTTAAAGACTTTTGAGCATATTCCATCAGAACATTTTGGAAGGCATTATCCTAAAGCAAATTTGGGGATCAAGAGAGTGTCTGCCACCATCTGCCTGTATATAAACACCCAACTGGTAAGTCTTGGATATCCTAGAGAATATTTTCACAAAACTTGGGATGCAATCTTTGGTTGTTAAAGAGCTGTGCTTGAGAAGATGAAAAGAATTAAAAAATTATTTGATTATTGATGAAGATAGCCTCATCAATACCATCTTTGTTTCTCATCAATATTTCCTTTGACCAGGTGCTGAGTTGGTGGAGGACTCCAGGACTGAATAGGGAGGGTGAACTGGATGACCTTTAAGATAACTTGTGATGCCAAGGTCTTGGTGACTAAACACCTTGCAGAGAAGACATTTTCCAAAGTCAGGAATCCAGGCTTGCTGGTCTCTAGAGGCTCGATGGCTTTTTTTGCTTGGTAGTACTGCTGGACTCTCTTGAGAAGGGTTACTTTTATTCATAACATTAGGTTACTATGCATTTTGTGCATGTGATGGTAAGGCCAAGAATTTGAGAAGGAAAAGTGGGGAAAAATATGTGCAAAAACCGATAATGAGACTAATTTTTTTTTTTTAAACACTGCCTGCGACCTGGTCTCTTAGGACTTTATTATTTTTGCTTTCACAATACTGTGGAGTCCTCATACATCAGAACATCACAGGCCTCTGAGACCCGAGCAATTCTGCAGTCTACTAAGCTGTGTTAAGCCATTCTAAAGCACCCAAACCCTCTTTATCCTTTGTCACCACAAAGCTATCAAATTAATTCAGGTTGGCCACCTACATCCCCACCTCAAATACAGGCAGCAAATTAAAAAAGAAAAAAACAAAAACAGTCTCCATCACTTCATCCTACCATCCCCCCATCACACAAACAGATACACAGATCTTTTATTTAAAGGTCCCCAGGGAGAAGAGAGAAGCCATTTTCACTGAAGCCAAGCAGAGCTATTAAGGAGCAGCTGGAGCAGTGGACACATGTAATTATATAAGACACTATTAAAGCAAGCAACCCTAAATAAATTCAGTAGAATTGACTTTCAGCTGCAAAGCTTTGGGGGTCCAGCCAAGTAATCCAAGAAATACTTCACAGTCTAAAGAAGACATTTGTTTTAATTTTTGTAAACAATTCCCTAAACCCCCTACAGATGTTCATCTCAGAAAGAGAATATTTGACTAAAAGATAAGCTACACACACACACACACACATACACACACAGGTTTTCTTGCATTTCAGAAGTTTTCCTCAAAAGTTGTATTACTTCCATCCTATGTCATTTCAGAAAGGACTTATCTTCATTCTGATTACTGTTCAAGGATGGAATGGTGTAAACTTGTTTGTTTGTTTTTTATAACACTGGTTCTATTACAGCTTTGGGGAAATAGATACTTTGAAAAAAGTCATGGAGAGTATGAATCAATA